TACGTCTTTATCTGTGATATTACAACAGGCCATTATTTACGCCACCGCCCTAACCCAACTTAACTAAATTACATATTTCAGATGTAAAACATAAACGTGGGAGTCTGTACCACCTCCAAAATTGGGTTTGTGTTGGATTCCAAAAATCCTACAGCGTAAGTAAGTTTTAATATTAAGAAGCTCTAGGGATTTCCCTACATCCATGATTAACTTTGAGAACATCAATATTTGCTTTCACTTCTTCCAATTGCAAATTATAATATATTACTATCACATACTATCGTATGTGTTTTCGATAGTAATCTTCGGGGAAATCAAATCTCCGTTTCATATATATGTATTATATATTGTTATTTAGTTATTATAAACTAAGTACATATATTCCTATGTTTGGAGTAAGGTTTCAAAATCATTTAATAAATTTGGAAACAAAACTATAGTGTGAGATATAAAGTACAATGTATTATAAACTAAGTACATGGGTATATTCGACTCAGAAGATCAATTATGGAGGCTCCGTTGAGAGTTATTGGTACCCTGTCTTATTCTATTTCTATTCTATTCTAAGTACATATATTTCTTTGTTTGAAGTAAAGAATCAAAGCCAAGTCAAATAGTTTGTATGTAAAAAATACGTTTTGTCGCAATTAACTTAAATTAAGGCTATAGAACACAATTTTTTTTAATAATTATTTCTTCTTATTCATATATTTTAAGCTGCTATTTTGAAGGCGTACAATTTATAATAAAGCTTATACTTTTTCAAATGAACGTCTTTATTACTGTTAAAGACTTTCTCCAATTTTCCCATATATAGTAAAATAGCAGAATAGTAATGATTTTTCAATTATAATACAAAGTTTTTAAAATAACCATAATTATTGTATATATAAATGAATAATCTCTAGCTTCTTTTCCATTATAATTCCATTTCTATATTATTTCAAAATGATTGTTAAGTTCTGTGTAACAAAATTCTTTGAATGATTTTTTCCCAGACTATCAAGTTAAACAAATATCGTTTGTCTGTTTATATATTGTCTGCTTAACATAATATGTAATTTTGTAAATGATGAGATAAAAATAGGTTTAAACACTCACCGTTTTTTTTTTTTTATAAAATTTTGACTATTATTTTTATATATATTTATGAAATATTTTTATTAAACAAATATATATTGTTTATCAAAATTTGCTTATACAAGAACAAGCAACAGTGAAGGCAAGTTTAAAAATCAACCGTACCGCATTTGCTGTTGCTGCTGCTCCACAACACAACGGCGACAGATAGTCTAAAGCGTTTTTGCTTCTTTCACGTTTAATTGCCACTGAGCAAAATAACCGATTCTGTGTGAAGTGTTTAATTTATTTGCACATTAACACTCGATAGAAGGCGTAAAATTGTACAATAAAAAGTATCTTACATTCCAACAATCTACACAACAATATTCAAGTAAAAACACCAACCGTAATTTAGCGGAAAATCTTTTTTACATACAGTGTACGAGCGTTGCTGATTTACAACTTAAACCACTGATGGGTTAATTTGATAAAAAGCGTAAAAGTAAATCCGTAAAGTATAGCGTTGCACTAGGACAATAGTTGTAGATAGTAGCAGAGTATGAATATGAGATAGTATGAAACTCAAATTCCTTAAGTGAAAACTGTTATTAGCGCAGAATTTTATCATTAAACAATTAAAAATGTTATTTAAAATTATATTAATATTTTGTTTATTTTATTCATATCTATTCAAAATGCATATTCTTAAGATCCTGCTATGATTAATATGATTTAATCCTTATACGAAAAGTAAAACTTTTTGCACACACATGCAGATAATTTCATTAAAAAAATTCATATAAAATTCATTCACTTTTCTTTCAATGTAAATTATTTTTTATTTTCGATTTTAATAAAAAAAAAAATTTTTATATAGCCAAAATTGATAAGGCTTCAAAAAAAATTTGTTTAAAACGAATTTGTATATTTTCACGCGACGATATTTTGTAGCGCGTCTGATCTGTGCCGTGGGTAACCGCAGAATGGTAAATACACCTGCTTTCTCGTAGCGAAACACTTCGCATGCGCACATGGAGCGAAATTTTCATTGACGGCAACAACTTTGCCTGTTGCTGTTGCTGTTGCTGTGTCTGCTTCTACATCTGCTTACCGTTAATGCTGTTGGTGCTATTGCCGCTGTTGCTGCTATTGCAGTTGTTGCCGTTGACGTTACCATTGCCATTGCCATTGCCATTGCCATTGCGATTGCCATTATTGCCGGTGAATTGTTGTTTGTGTTGCTGTGGTGCTGTGTTGCTGATGTTATTGCAATTGTCGCTGAATGTCGCTGTGCCAAAAGACTCGGTTTGAGTCTTTTCATCAGTTACTAGATTCTCTTCAGCTCTGAGATGTAAGCTGTTAGTTGCATTATTACTGTGGCCACACTAAATTTGGCTTTTTCGCAGAAAAACAAAATAAAATTAAATATTAATGCATTTTTATTATTGTTGTTGTCGCTTGCTGCAACAACTATGCCAAACGCTTCTTCCACGTTATGCCTATACGTTCATTAGTCGTTACGTTTGTCTATCTAACTTTAAGTCGGCTTAATGTTTTGTTTGTGGTTGTCTCATTTTGTATGTCAACAGAAACTACTTTCAGTTAAATAGTTTTAAGAGTAAAATAACATCGTTAACCACTTCTCCTTTGCCACTTCATCTACTGTACTAATGTATGTCTTTCATTAGCAGATAATAATAATGTAGTTGAATTCGAATTTGTCTGGCTCGGATTTATGTTAGATAGTCATTTTTTAATAATTACTAAACCATTCTGCACACTAATTTATAAGTATCTTCACGAACCTTAAGCTTTATTGCATTTTTATTATCTTTTTTCACTTTTACTGGAAATTTTATTTTTTCTCATAACAAATATGTTGGCATATCGCTCACTGGCCTTGAATTTGACAATATAGCTTTAGTTTCTACAGATTGTATTATATTCTGTCAAGAACTCAAGAACATCAATTGTCTCTAAATTGTTTATGTTGAAACTATTAACAGTAGTCATAAATTTAAAGACAGCTAAATTAAGGTAATTAACATAACAAGTTTAATGACATCGATAGTAGTGTGGTATACTTCATATATTGTTATATTTAACAATTAAGACGAATGTTTGTAACTCTCTTAAAGTTAAGAGAAGATACTTATTCATCAGAATATAAATACATGATCCTGATCTGTTATATTCTATTTAAAACCCTTAAGAAACTATTATAAGAATCGCTAGATAACTGGTGTAGCTACATTGAACATTCTAGAAATTCTTTTAAGCGAAGTCTGGTCTCCAGCTAACTTATATTCGCTCAAGATTAGTGTTCGCTTAACAGCATTTATATAAACAACTAAGATAGCTCCAATGAAAACTCTCTTAAATGGATTCTAATCCTCAGTCAACTTTTGTTCACTGATTATGTTTAAAATAATATCTTTAATCAGTTCTCTTTGCTTTTCATCACTTCTAATGTATTCTTTCATTAGCGGTTGATAATAATGTAGTTGTATTCGAATTTGTCTTGCTCGGATTTTTGTTAGCTAGTTTTTTTTTGCTAATTTGTTATCCGTTTTGCAACAATTTATAGACTACTAACCTAGCTTTATTGGATTTTTCTTATCTTTTTTCACTTTTAGTGGACTTTTTATTTTTTCTGCTCTCAATATGTTGGTATTCTTTACTCTTGACTTTGTCAATAAGTTTAGTTTGTATAGATGTATTGTATTCTTTATTAAGTGAACACTTGTTCTAAGTTTAGTTTTATTCTTAACAGTAGTCATCTATTTAAAACTTTATTAAGGTAATTGACTTAGCAAGTTTTATTCCATCGATAGTCGTGTGTTATACTTGTTTTGTTGTTATATTTTGCAATAGGACGAGTGTTTGTAACTTCTTTAGGTTGGAATAATTTAGATGTAGATACTATCGTGATCTTATATTCTATTTCAAACCGTTTCTTAATTATTTTGAAGCTGTTTTGTGGTGTGCACTTGAGCATTTATACTTTTTTTTAAGCGAGGTCTTTTCTCCAGCTCTCTTATATTTGCCTAGATTATTGTTTGTTACTTCATTATATAAGCAATAATTTAGCTCCAATGATTACTCTCTTACATGGTTTCTTATGCTTAGTTTACTTTTTTTCACTGATTATGTTTAAAAAATAATTTTGCTCTGTTCTATATAGTTTTAAAACCTGTCATGAACTATTATATCGAACGCTTGAGTATTGAGTATGTAGTAAAAACTCTCTTAGGTGGTCAGTTGTCTCTAGCTGATTTAGGTTGCTTAAGTTTGGTATCCGCTTTAAAGAGTTATATAGATGTAAATTTTTGTTGTGTTATGTGTTACACAGATTAATCTTCTCATTTTTTGTCCACTTTTTCCGCTTTCAAATGCGTATCTTTAGACTTAACGTTGCTCATTTTACCTTTGATTTATCATTGAAAACTTATTGAGTGAAGAGTTTATCTGAGTCCAGTTTTTTCGCAATATATAGTTATGTATTATAACTTTATTAAGTGAACACTTGTTCTTAGTCAAGTTTTATTTGCAATCTTTAAGTGCTCTTTTTAAGATGAAAAAATAAACAATTAGTTAATGTTTGTAAGATCCCAACTCACCACTATGACTTCAACCGGTAAAGATACAATCCATAACCATCTCACATTGTTCGTAATGTACATAATATATACCAAGGTATTTGCAAATTTGCAGGAGGTTAATACTTAAAACTGATGTTACGGATAGAGAGTTGCGAAATTAACCTTTCTTAGCCAAGATTTAAAGGATTTAAAGTCTGTGAAGAAGTAAAAAGCTCCGTATGTCTTTAACCTGTTCAAGTTTTACATTTGGATATGAATGAGGTTTACAATATACTATAATATTAAATTACATTTTAAAGAACAGCTATTAATATATGAGAGACAAGTACTTCGCAATATATATGAATCAGTGCTACTAAATTACAAGACTTACTAAAACTGGTACAATCACTAGCTTTATATTAATATATGCCTAGAGTGTATGTAAAAATTTACATACACTTGGTTTTAAGTGGCAAAGCAAGCCTTTATATGTACACAGATTGGTTGGCGTAGAAAAAGCAAGCCATAGAAAAGTTGGATCCCTGCTGTAGTAGGGACCTTAACAAAATGGGTATACGTTAGTGGAGCAGATCAGGAGAAATAGGTTTGAAAACATTTAATCGTTTAGCACAACTATACTAAGATAGAAAAAAATATATGTGTATTTATGTTCATTTAAATATATTATTAAAATATTTAAAGTTGATTGAAAATAAATTGAAATGTTAGAGACATATTCTATAATATATGTAATTTAATTAAGCAAACTGGATGGTTAAATAAATTTTAAAATTATAGAAATATAAAAATGTAAACAGAAAGTGAATATTAAAATAAATTGTTTAATACTTATGAATTATCATATGAAAAATGCGAAACAATCTTTTAGAGAAGAAAATCGAAAATGGATACTACTGAAGCACAGGTGCGCATTTCCATTTAGAACAATGACGTTACGGAGCTTTTATGACACATACAATAAATAAAAATTAATTGGTTAAAATATATTTTGCTTAAGGTACTCGGTTTATTGGTTTAGAGTTGGATTCAAATTTGTTTGTACGGCATGTGCCTGCCGCATGGGAGCATATGCAATCTTGTTTGCTTACTTGCCTGGTTAAATAAAATAAAAAAATCACAAATTAATATCGATCAGATTTCATTCATGCAATCCGTTGTGATTTTTATTGAGTGTCCCACTTTTCCATGAAGTATTCGCAAAACGTTTTTCCACATTTAGTATAGTTGACTGTTAACTTTTTTTATTTTATTTGCTGCCATTGCCAGTGCCACTGCCATTGCCATTTGCCACTGTAACTACTTTTATTATTATTATTGTCGTTGTTGCAATTGTTGCAGTTTTTGCAGTTGTTGCAGTTGCTTGCTGCCTCTAACCATTGCCGCTGCTATTTCATATGGATGACGACTTTTATAACTAGCTTGCTTACTGGCTACTGGCCATCGGCGTCGATCCAAGACACCAATGCATACCCGTGTATATAAAAAGTAGCTACTACAATGACACGAGCTTAGCCTAACTGACTATAGTTGTGATTGTAGATGCAGATGTAGCTGTAGCGCTGTAGCTGTAACTCTGGCAACGACAAGCAGACTGGACTGCATCGATTTCATCGCCATTCAAGTCGATTTGCACTTTTAAGTGTGTTCCTGTTTACAAAAAAATTGCCAAGTCTAGCCTGTTCGAAATTGGAGTAATTTCATTGTCGCTGTCTTAAAACTTCACCGTCAACTCAGTTGCAAGTCTTTTACATTTACACAAATTAAGTAACATAAATGATGACGATTATAGTCTGAGCCTCAGTCTGAGACCGAGTCTGAGACGGAGACTGAGACAGAGTTTAATACCAAAATAGCTTATTGTTATTACTAACTACAATAGATACTATTGATAAATCGCTGTTTACTAATCCAAGATTACGAACTATTGTTGTTGTTGACAATATAGCGACGTGTTATTTCATTCAAAAATTTGTATGACTGTAATTAGAATTACAATCGCACATTTTTTATTTTTATTAACAATTCCAAAGATATAAAAATGTTTATTGAAAATTTAAGCAATTTTGAATGAATTTCGAAAAGAGTGGTTTGTCCATACGCATTTATATATACAATACTATTCCTACTATATTATTTCATTCAAAATAAATTTGTTTGATTTGATTTTAGACTTTTTTTATTAAAGCTAAAATACTGAGCTGTCTTCGTAAATTTTTAAATTAAAATATTATCAAACTAAATAAACAATTCAATATGGACAAGTTTTTCACACGCTTTCCTAACTTTAACAATAATTATTAATATTAAACAAATACAAGCAGAAATAATTTTTAAATAATTTAATATATTGCATAAGGTTATATTAGGTGTCGTTTTTTTATATATTTTCTTATGATCAGACAAACGGCTGAAACTAAGACCTACATTTCTTATTTAATTGAATTTTTAAACTTTATATAGATACGGTTAGGTTACGTTATACAGGCAGACCAAAAAGACAACGCGAAGATCATTATATTCCATAGCGATACCAAATCAGAATCTTGATTATTACCGATAGTGTGCATCACTTAGGATGCGCTTATTATTAACGAATTTTATTAGGATTTCAACAGAAACTTCGGATATGTGCTCCAGACCTGTAAAACTGTCAGCCCCCAAGTATTTTTGTCGAGTTCTCGAGAGATCCGGACAATTACACGGCAGATATTTTTTTTGCATCTGATTCGTTGCATTTCTTATAAGCATTGCTGCGAATTGAGTTTAGCTTGTGTGCATATATTGCCAGACCTGTTAATACACAAATTAATGTTCTACAGTTCCTTCGGCTAGACGATATAACATCATGGGTGTACTTTTCTTCGTATATGTGGCCAGACATAGTCCTAGCTATTCTACAGGTGGTTAAGTTTCACCACCTTTCGTTTGCTCTCCTTGTCATGTGGTCGTCCAGGAGATTATGTATTTGTTTCAGAGGTCTGAGTACTTCGAAAAAGTTAATATATATATATAATTTATAACTTTATATAATATGCAATTAGAAAAATAAAGAAAGAAATAATCAAGTACATTCGTATGCAAAATGGGTAATCAAATGTTACGTTCTTACTGACATATATCCCGTGTCATGGCTTAAGATACAATTGCAATATTCAGGATATTGATAAACTAAACACAAATTTGGATATCAGACTAAACAAATAGTAACATAAATAAAAACAAAAGCAACTCTTTTATAACATATGTTAATATTAATGATAATATTATATCATAAGTTTTCATATCATATCAGAAGTATAATAATTTCCTACACCAAAAAAATGAATTTTCAACGAAAGGTTTATTAAGTAGAAGCATAGGTCTTTAATGTGAATTGCTTTAATAATTATTTTTAAATGTGTTTTTTAATGAGATTAAATTTACATAAGTAAATAGATTAAAAATTTTGAATTATTGACTTAGACCATTAAAAAGTTACCAGTTAATATAATTTTTGTAAATTTATAAAATAGTGAAAGTTATTAAAATCATTATTAAATTTAAAATATTTTACATCATAAACTTGAGCTTTGTATAAATAAATATTGAAAAATAATTTAATACACAATCTTTTTTATTGACATACTGTAAAAATTATGAAAAATGAGGAATTTTCTTTCACTTTACAATTACTCAAGCTTTTCAGTTACTGCTACTGTAAAAATAAAATTTTCAAATTATAAATTATTACAATATGGTACTGTATTAACTTAATTTTCCGAATAATTTTGATAATATATAATTCTTTTTTATAATTAAAACAAGACTGTAATATATAAAGAACATATTCTTGATTCTTCTTCTTCTTGAGTTAGTGCTATTACGCACTTTTACTCTATAATGGCTGGGGGGCTTATATCTACCCCACACTAGGCTTTAACTAGGCAAAAAAAAAATACATCATATCATTTATTTGTCTTTTAGTTGATGACGGACCTTAAATCAGCATATCTTCCTGAGAGTCCAGAAGTGGACTTGAGGATTGTTAGGGCGGGGTTAATTAGCGTATCAACTTTAACATAGTGAATAATTTTAGAGCTCTGTCTCTGATATATTTTTTCACTGAGTCAATTCTAAGATCTCTATGTATGTCTGTTGAACTAATATACCATATATATAGTATAGTATATACATATAGTATAGTATATAGTAAAAATTAATTGTGAACTAAAATAAGAACTAAAAATATTCAACAATTTTTATGCCAAATTTTTACTAAAAGAGTTATATATTTATGTATATATATTTAAAATTTTTAAATATGTCGTAAAATATCCCTAATTTACTATTTAAATTATACTGCATTTATATTAAACTAAATACACTTTACAAAATAAATTCAATACCCAGATTGATACATAATTAGGTTAGGTTAAGTTATACCAACGATCCCTTATGGATTCACTTAGGTCTATTGGTCCATATACGGTAACAGTATATATAGGGAAAACCACCTAGAACCTATGGTGAAGCATAAAATGCTATTTAGTATCAGGTCCTGTAATTGGTCAAGGTCCTCAAGAAAGGGGGTTCCTAGAGTATTAAGTCGCCGCCATGCATGAGCTGAGCAAAAACACAGTAGATGAGAGGTACTCTCATCGTCTACCCACTGCTGCGACAGATTTGATTAAAGAGACAACTAATCTTCTAGCATGGCTTATAGTGAGCTGTAAGTAAACCTACCATATGACCAATATTTCTATGCGGTATCTCAATGAGAATTTTGGATTTCCTTTTATTTCCAATCATTTATTAAAAGACACATATTTAAAAATTTTAAAAAATACTACTATAAAAAATCTCACTATATATTTAAAATCAATTTTGCAAAGCATAAATTATGTATAATTGTTATTGAAATATATACCAATATAAATGGAATATTTTTATTTTCCTATTAAAATTATGCTGCGACTTATTAAATTAAATACACCTCACAATTCAAAACACAGATACGTATATATTTAAAAATTTATATCAATACCAGTATCTTACTCTATACATATATATTTAAAATCAATTTTGCAAAGCGTAAATTA